AGAGGCAATTCTATGATGAGGTATAAATTTTTAGAGAAGACATTGTGGAGTGTGCAGCGTTGCTACAGCTGTGATTGGTAACGAAACAGCAGATATATGGGGGGGGGGATATTTTAAGATTGTGTGATTCCCCCCTCCCCCCAGTCACCTTGTTTTCTGGCTGTGTGCTCAGACATGATGACATAATAGTGTGTGTATAAAGAGCAAGGGCTGTGTGGGGTAGGACTTTTATTAACTGCACTAGGGGGTACTGGCCCCATCAACAACATTCACAGCACAAAGCCAGTTCCCATGAAGTCTGACTGGGGCCCCTCACTCACTCGCCTATTGCTATGAATTTCACCACCAATCTTACAGCTGTGCTGGATCCTAAATCCATTGAAATAGCTAGACCACACACACACACCATACTCAGTTACGGAGTTCATTAGGGAAGTTAATAGGCATCAGATTGTCAGCAGGTTACAATCTCTCAGTCCAACAGCTTTTCCAAGCATGCTCTCGGGCCTTTTGCCCTTGAACCTCGCAGCTTAAGTTGGTGTTCTACATTTCTCTTAGCTTTACCTGCTCTGGCATCTTCCCTCGACCCTCCAGCAAGCATGGGGGAAGGCCTCTGACTCTGGCTCGATGGGGCCGCCACCCTAAGTTAGCTCTGCCTTGTGTCCATCTCTTCTTAGCTGAGGTGGTTCGTGTGTAGGTCTTGGTCTGGCTGGTGCCTGAACCTTTGACCCTGAAGGACAAGTTGCTGCTTCCTCTTGCTTCTTGTTGGTGAGGTTTTCTCAAAGTCTGTCACTGAATCCGCTCGATGTCAGGCCAGTGGAATGGTGAGACTAGGCAATCCCTTTGTGCACAGACTAACACACCCTATTTGTATGATCCCTATTTGCACATCCATGTGCCAAGGTCAAATTGGTGGCTAGGAAAGTAATTTTGAACAATAACCCTTTGACAGCACATCTTTGCCAACAGTGTTGATGGAACACTGAAGGTGTGGCAGGAGGGCCCCACGGCCCAGCTGTGAGCACCAGGCAGCTCCTGTCGGGCGGAGGCTCCTGTTCTCCCTTTCACTACAAAGGCAAAGGTTCATCCTCCCTACTGTGTGTCCCCACTTTGTATCTTCATGTGGGGAGAAGGATGACTAGATGTGAAAGAGGGATGGGCAAAAATGTTTTCTTTAAGGAGAGGCCTGAAAAAGTCTTATTCACTTAGAGGAGCCCATACTACTTCACCTTCACAAATGGATGCAGCCTGCCATTCTCCCATCTCTAGACAGAACAGGACACCAAAGCCATGGAAGGAAGGGAAAGTGAAGAAGCGGGATGACACTGGCACACAGGTGTCATCTGAACTCTGATTACAGTTACCGATGGGGGTGGGGAGCAGGGTGGAGGCACCAATACCCTGTCAGCCTGAGGAGGTTCCTGGAGGGTCAGCAGTGAGTTGGTTCCAACTCGATGGCACATAAACTTTCTACAGATGAGTGCCATTTAGCAGTGCACTATCATCTTCAGAGAGACGTGCCCAAGGGGCACATGGAGGGGCTGATTAGACCAGCTCCGTTTTCTGCTCAGTATTCAGCCTTGGTTACTTTGTATTTTAATAACAAATCCCCACTGCCCTCAAGTCAATTCCAACTCATGTCACTTCTTTATCAGATTTCTAAGACTATAAATCATTACAGAAGCAGACAGCTTTGTCTTTTTCTCGAAGAATGCTTGGTGGGTTCGAGCCACCAGGTTTTCTGTTAGCAATCCAACGCGTCAAAACACCAGGGCTCCTGTATAGTTTTGCTAAATATTCTGCTGCTTTGTGTAATTTTAATTTCGTGGAGACTTATTACCCGGCACGTCCTCTGAGAAGTAGACCAAAAGGAGATGGGATTAGAATTGCAAGAGGTTTATTAGGGGAAACCACTCCGAAGGCTTAGGGGCTCAAGGGAGCAGGAGTAGGCTGATGGGAAGAGCCTTCAGTCTGCAGTACAGGCCCGACAGCTGTGGACAAAAGACAAAAATGAGAACTGGGCAGCAAGAACCTCAAGGCACCAGCACAATTTTGAGGAAATCTTGAGCAGATTGTTAAGAGTTCACAAGCTGACATTTTCCTTTTAAAGGAAAACCCACTTCTGTGGGAATGGTTTAGCACTATTATCCCTAGATGCTCAGTCATTGCCTGGAGACAGCCAGAGATACAGAGGATGAGGGCTCAGCATCCCAGGAAGAGCTCTTGGCTATCCAGGGAGATGTCGCAGCATCCCAGAGAGATGTCGCAGCATCCCAGGGAGATGTCGCAGCATCCCAGGGAGATGTCGCAGCATCCCAGGGAGATGTTGCAGCATCCCAGGGAGATATGCATCCCAGGGAGATGTCGCAGCATCCCAGGGTGAGGGTTCAGCATCCCAAGGAGATATGCATCCCAAGGAGATATGCATCCCAGGGAGAGGGTTCAGCAGCCAGGGAGATAGCACAGCAGCCCAGGGGGGGCAGCCCCTCTGCTCTCTGCGGCAGATTTCTATAAGCTTTCTGAGCAGCAAGCACCCTCCATGGGTCTAGGTTTTCTCAGTTACCCTCAACCATGTTGGAGGCATCATTGTGTCCTTTCAGGTGTTCCACAGAAACATGGACAGGATTAGACACGCAAAAGATTTGACAAGTGGAATCCCTGTTAATGGGTAATGGGCAGGACAGGAGTGGTGGCGAGAGCAACCTGTGTAAATGTGATTGGAACGATTTACTGCTGGTGAATCCAGTCATGACAGGGCAGCTTTAAAAATAAATGCTTGGTTTATTCCTGTGTTCTACATTTTGGTTTGGAAAGTTGGGTTTCTTTATATAAGTCATATCATGGCATGAAACTGTAGAATTTGAAGCATCAAATCAGATCTACCTTGACTCAATGCTTTCTTTTTACATATGACACCTCTCTGAGGCTTTTCAGAGCTTATCAGCTGGACAATTGTGCAGCCCGGGGGCATCTGCCAGTGTCTGGACCTAAAGTGTCCATGGGGCCTGTCTGTTCTCTTGGTCTGCTTGCTAGGATGCCAGCTGCATGGGTGACTGAAAGGACAGAGAGGAATGCTATATACATAAGGCCTAGCATGCAGCCCCAGGGAGCTAGTCATTTAGGAAAACTCTGGGAGGGGAGCTGAGAGCAGCCCCAAACCGGCTCCAGGGCACAGGGCCACCAAACAGCCTGGGAATCAAGGTTTTTTTTAAAAGTGATAAGTTTTTACCTAACGACTATCTCAAGCCCCTGATAGATGTCTTTACAGGAATGTTGTAAGTACACACACATCCCTTAGATAAGTTACAGAAGCTATCATTTAAAATGTTTTAAAATCTAAATTCCAACCAGTATCTTTTTAGATAGTTAACAGAGATGGACGGACTCATACCTGACCTGTGCTCACAGCCGCCTGTTCTATTTGGAATGTAATTTGAAACATTCCCAGCCAGCTTAGAATAGTTATTCTAAGTTACTAGTTAGTACCTATTTTATATGAAATATAAACAGAAAAACAAAGCTCTAACCATGTGCTTAATATTTACTTACCCATCTTCAAGAAAATCATTCTTTCAGTGTAAATTCAGGAATAATTTTTCTGTTGCTTATTACTATTTTGTGTAAATGTTTTTAAAAAAAGTTTTGTGAAGCTGTCAATAGGACATTTTCTCAAAAAGAGCAGCTGGAAAACTTGCAGAGAGTCTGAGGTTTGAGTCTTAGTGGGAGGCAGGCCGCCTGGAAAATGTTTGTCTCTGAGGCGTTTGAAGCCTATGCCTGTGTAAGAACCACAAAGCATTCTTTGGAATCGGGGTGGGGGGGCAATTTCCACTGTCCACTGGCCCCTTCTTCTGTCCAGTATGATAAACAGCTGGCGGGGAATACACAGAATCCATTGGTCATTCTATTCTGGTGCACAGTGCAGAGTCCCATATAGAAAATGTTCCTCCCGGGGCAGGAACCGCACCCAAAGAATTTGGTCGTTGTCCCTTGGCTCTTGAGAATCTCTGCAATTTCTCCAGGTCAAAGTGTCTTACCTGTAAGGGCTTCATATCATGACTAGGGTCTTGGGCCAAGGAGGTGACTCGCAGACAAGACTGCTTGGTCAGACCAGAAAGACCCACCCAGTGATATGAGCACAACCTACAGGAAACCGGAGACTGGAGTTCAGTCCACCCAAGCTACGTAACAAGGCCGCAAGTACGGATTCTGGATGAGGACACTCCTTAGGCCTCCTATTTGATGACAGATGTCAGTGTCCAAAAGGTTGCGTGTCCCTTCTTGAGCCCTCCAGGTCTCAACTTATCTCTTCATATCTTTTTGCTGTAATAAAATTGCAAACCTGAGTGCATTGCGTTCTGTGTCTTTCATGAGTCGACCTAGTGAATTATTGACCCTGAAGGAGTAGTAGGAATAAGCCAGTGAGAAGTGAGGGGCGGGGGGGAGGGGGGAACGCCTGGTATCTAACATCCTGAGGAGGTAGAAGGAACCCCCCAAACTTTAACAATGAGCAGTTCAGGCGTTAGTCATCGGGCCCCAAGTTTGTGGCTGGATCTGAAGTCTTGGACAGAGCTGACAGTCGCAAGCTGGACTGTGACCTTTTAATTTGTGGGCCTCTGACTTGGTTGTGGTGGTTAGGATCCGAGGAAGGGAAGACCACATTTGTGGTTGAAAATTGAAACCGATTTGAAGTGGTATTAAAAATTTGATGCTGGGGGAGCTCTGGTGGCCTAGTGGCAAGAAGCTGCCCTGCAATCCCAGATGTTCGGTTCGAATCCACCAGATGCTCTGCCGGAAAAGGGACAATCTCCTCCTGTACCAGTCCGATCCAATTTGACGGTACACACACACACAAAAATTGATGCTGAATTCCTTCAGTTGGCGCAAAAGGTGGGATCCCTGTTTATTTTTTCACACACCATGTCAGCAAATGACCAGAGATGCAAGTCAGATGCAAATGACTTTGCCCTGGAACCACAATGTTAAAAGACAAAAAAGTGCTGTCCCTGCCTCAACCAGGCTCCTCCCTTCTCTACCTGTTTCTCTGCTCAGGGAGCCTGAGCCCCTTGCACCCCTCATCTGGTCCCTCTGCTTAGCTGACTTTCAGCTAGTTCAGTCAGTGAGAAACTTCAGCAAGAGATGGGCAGATGGAAGGAAGGAGGGCAGAGATACGTTTTGCACAATTTCCTCCCAGCTCCCTCTGTGTGTTAGGACCCATTTTTCTGACAGTAGCTGTGTGTTAACTGGGCAAAAAGAAAGCACGGGCGTGAGGAATTATGAAGAGAAAGGCCAGTCATAGGTCCCCACAGCCTAGGATCGTGGAGATGCTTCCTTCGCTTCCCCAGGGTTTTTATTTCATTCAAACCAACAAAACATTCCTATCTCATGAGGTTATATTTTCCTTATACATAAGTGTTGCCAGCGTAACAATGGGTAAGCTTAATTCTTAAACCAAGAGCAAGATAGTTCCAAAGTTCAGGAACAGTATCCCCTCTGGTGGGAGGCTGGGAGGAACTCTCCATTTGCATAGTGTGTCCAATATCTCCTGGGGCGAGGGAGGACTGAACTGGAACTGTTCACAGAGGGTGCCCATCATTTCCAGCCTGGACTCTGATCTCAACTGTGGCCCAGCTATCACCGTGCTGTGAGCTATCCACAGCTGTGTCCTTCCACATCAACATCTCATTGTATGGACCCTCCTCATGTCCCCAGTAGTGCTCTTGGCCCTGCTCTTGGCCCACCTGGGCCTTCCACCCTCCACGGTGATCCCTGCTGTAGCTTTTCTCCTCAGAACGCCTTAACACACAACGTAATCATGCATGCCACAGCTCTCTATTACAGGACGTTCTCATTGTGCACAGTAGTCTACAGCAATGACCTTGCAAGCTGAAATCCTGCAAAAGCGATCTTAATAATCAGTGGGGAGAATGATCGTTCTATTGACTTTCAAAAATTCTGATCTAGTGGCAAGAAGCTGCACTGCAATCCCAGAGGTGCATGGTTCGGATCCCCCAATGCTGTGCTGGAGAAGGAGGGGCAATCTCCTTCTGTACCAGTCAGATCCAATTTGACGGTACACACACACACACACAAATAAAATTTTTTAAAAATTAAAAATTCTAGGGGAGCTCTGGTGGCCTAGTGGCAAGGAGCTGCAACTACAATCCCAGAGGCTCACGGTTCGAATCCACCAGATGCTCTGCCAGGAGAGACAATCTCCTCCTGTACCAGTTAGATCTGATTTGACGGGACATGCATGAAAAAATTTAAAATAATTAAAAATTCTTATCAAAATGTCAAGATTACTGGTCATAAATAACTTAGAAAAAAGAAAGCAACTGTGAAAATAAATATTTAATACATAATCTCTAGGGAGCTCTGGTGGCCTGGTGGCAAGAAGCTACATGCTGTAATTCCGAAGGTACACGGTTCAAGGCCACCAGCTGCTCTGCTGGAGAAAGATGGACGATCTCCTCCTGTGTAATTAATCGCCTCTGAAAACCCACTGGAGAGTCAGCTATGGGTCAGTTCCAACTCTATGGCACATTATAACAACAATCTTTCATTTTAAAAAATCAGTTGCTGCTGAAGGGCTTTGTTGTTGTTTACTGTCTTTGAGCTGAGCACGACTCATAGTGACCCTATGAACAAAAGGCCTGAAGCCCCTCTACAACTATCAACTTTAATCAAAATTCATATATTTTTCCGGAGGCATGTTATTTAGGAAGTGGATGCCACTCCTGCTTCCAAACCTGTCATAGTATGCTATTGTTATGTGCTATTGAGTTGGCGGTAATGTATAGCGACCCTATGTAAAGAACCTTATGATCATTAAAGCAGTTGTTGCTAGGTGCTGTCAAGTGTCACGAACTCATAGCAACCCAATGTACTACATAATGAAACCTTGCCTAATCTAATACCACCCTTTCAATCTCTGCCATACTTATTAGCCCATTTCTGCAGTCACTATGTTGATCCAAAACACAAACTATGCTCATGAAAAACTTATAAAATGGGCCAAGAAACAGTTACCTGAACAAGAGAACACTGTATGGTTTAAAATCAAGAAAGGTGTGTGTCCGGACTGTATCCTTTCTCCATACCTATTCAAGCTGCATGCTGTGCAAATAAGTCAAGAAGTTGGACTGTAAGAAAAAGAATGTGGGTAGCATCAGAATTGGAAGAAGATTCATCAACAACCTGTGTCATGCAAATGACACATCCAGAAAGTGAAGAGTTTAAGCATTTACTAAAGAAGATGAAAAAGCCTTCAATATAGATTACATCTCAACATCAAAAAATAAATAACGTTCATTGGGCAGCATCATTAATGAGGGAGAAGAGATTGAAGTTGTCAACACTTTAATTTTACTTGTATCCACAATCAATATTCAATGCAGGAATAAAAACAAGAAATCAGAGGGAGCTCTGGTGGCTTAGTGGCAAGAAGCTGCACTGCTATCTCAGAGGTGCACGGTTCAAATCCACCAGATGCTCTGCTGTACAGTCAGATCTGATTTGACGGTACACACCCACAAAAATAATATAAAAAAATTATTTAAAAAAACCAACAAAACACAAGAAATCAAGAAATGAAAACACAAGTTTCAGGACCTCTCCAAAGGGCTACTAAAGCAAGGACACTAAAGACTTCAGAGGTAGCTGATCCTAGCCGTATTTTCAATCGCTTCCTACGCATCTGGAAGCTGAACAATGAATAATACCAAAGAAGAATTTACACCTTTGAATTGTGATATTGGTGAAGAGAACTGACTAGCTCAGACTGTCAAAGGAACAAGCAAGCCTGTCTTGGAGGAATTACGTACAACCAAGATGTTCCTTTGAGGCAAGGATGGTGAAATTTCGTCTCACATGTTATCGAGAGGGACTAAACCTTGGAGAAACACACTATGCTGGGAAAGATAGAGAATGAGCAAAAGAGAGAATTACCCTCAATGAGATTGATTGGCGCAGTGACTATCGATGGTCTTGAGCATGCTTGAACGTGTGCAGATGGTGGAGCACTGGGCACAGTTCTGTTCCTGGGATTGCTATGAGCCACAGCTGACTTGACAGCACCTAACAAGAACTAGCACCACAGGCTCCGTCCACCTCACCGAAAGCTTCCTCTCTTCCATTGACCATCTTTGTAAGGATGAGGTCCTTCTCCAAGAACCAGCCCCTCCTACGAGCGTGCCCAAAGTGTGTGAGGTGAGATCTCACCATCCTTGCTCCTGAAGCATCGTCTGGCTGCCCTTTTTTCAAGACGGATTTGTTTGGGCTTCTGGCAGTCTGTGGGTTTATTCAGTATTAGTAGAGGGTCAGCTAAAACCAGGGGAAAACCATTCATGAGACAGATAAACAGAGGCAACAATAGGCCCTGATATACCAAAGATTTGAGATCAGCCCAGGACCAGAGATGCTTCTTTCAGTTAAACAGTAGGCTCCAACATACCAAAGACTGTGAGAACAGCTTAGGACCAGAGGGTCTTCTTTCAGTTAAACACAGAGATGTCGTGAGTGACAGCCAACTAGATGGCAACGAATAATAACAACTGAAAACATTCGTAATATGGAGAATGAAAGTGTTTTATTGCTTTCTAAAAAACTCAAGAGTAGCTTGAACAATAGCTCCTTCTCATTGTATAACTTTCAGAAAAGGAGCTGGCATCTTTTCCCGTGCCTTGGCAAACTTGCCGTATTCTTTTCTAGGTTTGGATCAGCTTCCAACATGTGCTTCTGGTGTCATGAAAGCCCTCTGAGAATGCCTTTAATGTGTTCTTTGTTGGTTTCAGGAATCTCTTCCTCTGAGACCTCCTCCTCCTCCTCCTTTCCCTCACAACCACCTTCTTCATCTGTGAATGTCAGTAAATTCATCCTCCGTCTGCTCTGACTCCTAGGGACCCTCCGTTGACAGCACGATGCAACCTTGCTCAGTCCTGCGCCATCCTCACAGTATCTGCTGTCCCATTGTTGTGGTCATTGCGTCCGTCCATTTTACTGAGGGTCTTCCTCTTCTTCACTGACCCTTAATATAATGTGTCCCCCCAGGGATTTGCCAGCAGGGTGTAGAGACTAGGATTCATGGAAAAGGTCTAAGGGGTGATCCCCTCATCAACCCAAATGAAAGCAAGTGTCTCCTGAATGACAGCAAGTTTGGGTGAATTTCTGGCTTTCAGTTTCCTCTGATATTAAGGTTTGGGATCTGCTCTGGCTCCTAACCTTAAATGTGTTCTAATCCATGTTAGTTCAGAGCCAACTCCACTTGCCAAGCTTTCTTCCCAAGAGAATTGTCTTCCCAACAATAAGTCACAACAGAGCTCGCTTTGGGGTTTTTTCCAACTCAGAAAACACCAAAAGACAAAATAAAACCCACTGTCACTGAGTCAGATCCAACCCATAGTGACCCTGTAGGACAGAATAGAAATACTTAAAAGATTTTCAAGACTATAAATCTTCCCAGAAACACATTGCCTCAAGCCACTAGGCTTTCTGTTAGAGGCACGCTGCTTAATCCACGGCACCACCAGGGCTCCTTACCCAGGTAAAGGTCGTAGTGTTATCATTTATTTGGGCTAGTCTTATTTCCAAAGATTTTTTTTCCCATTCAGCACCATTATCTCATGTGTGCCAAACGCTTGATTGGATAGAGACCTTACGTATACTCTTAAAACAGCAATGTGGGGAATATATCGTGTTTACTTTATAAATGAGCCCAGAGTCTTAGAAAGAAGGACTCTAGACCTGCAGTTGGTGGAGGGTAAAGCCTGCAACCAGTGAGGTTCCCGGAGGATGGTTCTCTGATCTCACCTCCCACACAGCCTCTCCCAGTCACAGATGATGGTTCAAGAGACATTGATTCTAGAGCCCGAGGCCACAGCTTCCACTGGTGCTGGACACTGAGTGTGCAGCTGCCCTTTGTCATGGGGTCCTTGTTGGCACCTGGGCCACAGAAATCCTAAATTTACTTAACTTGGGGTGTGACCACTGGCTTCATTTGCTCATCCCTATAGGATTTTTTGTTGCATGTTA